CCCCAGAGCAGGCGGCGCGCGACCGGCGCCGCCGTACCCCCCCCGTGCGTGGGAGGCCCAGCCCCCCCCCCCCCCCCCCCCTCTGCCGCCTGCCCTCTCGGTGCTTGTGACTGACCCTCCTTCCGCCGGTTCTGCCGGTCGGCCGGCCGGCCGGCCACAGATGACATTGATGACATGGAGGAGCCGATCGACTTCGACGACGAGGCCGGCGGCAACCCCTACGGCAATGCGGCCTACCATGGTGACGATGATGGGGCCTTCTCGGATGATGGGGCCTTCGGCGATCAGGGGGACATTCCTATCCCCCATCACCCGGGCTACAGCTCGCTGTCCGGGGATCTGTTCGAGGTTCTGTTCGGCTCGCCACAGTACATCATCGACATGCTGAAGAAGCAGCTCCAGGGGATGGAAAACCCGGCGGACACCAGCGTACGTGTTGCCCCTGCCCCCTGCCCCCTGCTCCTGCCCTTGCCGCGCCTCTGCCCATCAGCCGGCCACTGACTCCCGACGGCGCGCACTCCGATGTAGTCCATCGAGCCCAAGGTCCTGCGCGAGCGCTACCGCACCCAGCGCGATGACCTGATCCGCACGGCCGATTGCCCGGAGCGTTTCTTCGACCTGGCTGACATTGACGAGCGCCGGGCCCGGCAGAAGCGTCGTCAGACCCTGCGCAATGCCGACATGCTGGCCATGGTTCAGGGCGACGATGACACCGAGTCCGATGGCATGGCAACCGAGGGGGCTCTCTCGGCCGAGGAGCGTCAGCGCCTGGAGCGGGAGGAGCGCCTCGACCGGGTGGAGCTCCGCCGCGAGGCCCGGTGGATCCTGTGCAATTCGCCGCTGGCCGCCAAGGCGATGGCCCAGCTGGAGGAGGCCCGTGGCCCGGGCGGCGGGGCCACCCTGTCCCGGATCCTGGCCGGCTCGACCGGCGACTTTTCCACCAGCCCCCGGCTGGGTGTCTTTGCCACCTTCGTGCGGGAGATCATGACCGTGCTGGACTTCCTGCGCAATGAGCTGTTCGAGGTGTCCTTCATCATCTTCTACCGCCGGTGCGTCCGGCGTCAGCCCGGCCTGGGTTTTGTCCTCCCCCCTCCGACTCGCTTCTGGCCCTCGCCGAATGTCGCCCTGTTCCATGTGTTCCCGCGTGTCTGACCTGTGTCTCGCCTCCCCGCCCCGCTCTTCCCCGCCCCGCCCCGCTCCTCCCCGCCCCGCCCCGCCCCGCCCCGCCCCCATCGCCACAGCCACTACTTCTCGGTTTTTTGCCTGTCGGACTTCTGGGTCATCTACGACCACGACATCAAGTGGACCTCCCTGGCCAAGAGCGCCCAGGACACGGTGAATTTCTACCGGCGCATTCGGGACCGCCCGGCGAGCGATCCCCTGCCGAGCGTCAGCTACATGGAGAACATGGACCTGTTCGGTCCGATTGGAGCCGGCATGCTGATGACCGGGTCCTCGCGGCCGATTTCCGACAACGAGGCCACCGAGGCACTGAATGATGATCTGCTGGATTTGCAGCTGTTCTCCCCCTCCGGGGTGTACCTGCCGACCAGTGTGCAGGAGGTGCAGGACCTGCGCGACTACATGTCGCACCATCTCGGGGACCTGGGCGAGCCTGGCACCGGGGCCGAGGATGGCGAGGGCGCCGGGTCGACGGGCCTGCGCCGGCACCTGCGCTCCTCGCGCAACCGGTCCACCCCCTCGGCCACCAGCTTCCCGGTGGATTTGGTGGCCTTCGTGCGGACTTTCGCCATCAGCGGCGAGCAGCTGGGCATCAATCTGGTGGACAACCTCCAGCATGATGCCATCCCCACGCCGCGGGAGAGCCCGCTGGCCCATGCGGAGACCTTCCTCCGGGGGCTGGCGGCCGATAGCCCGCTGGCCGGGCTGACCGGGCGGGCCCTGCTCCGCCAGGCCGCGGCCTGCCTCGAGCGGGAGATCTTCACCGACCCCCGGACGCGGCGCTTCATTCGCCAGCTGTACTTCGACCGGGTGGCCCTGCTGAATACGCGGCCCACGCCGGCCGGCGAGAGCGAGATCGATGAGTTCCATCCGTTTGCCAATTTCAAATTCCTGACCGGCTACCCGGCCAAGGCCCTCCGCGCGCAGGGGACCTTCGTGTCCATCCACAAGGCCGTGACGGACAACCTGCTGGAGGTTTCCTTCTCGGATTGCGTGCCGCTGCTGGCGGCCGGGTCCACCAATGGCGGGGCCGGGCCGGGCAGTGTGCCGGGCACCACCGGCCCGGCCGGGCCCCATTCGCCGGTGGTGGACCTGGCCTCGGGCGAGTCGGCCGCCGGGATGGCGACCTCCCCGGCCGGGGGCGGCCCGGGCGGCCTGCGGCCCGACCAGACGTCCTCGCCCATCCTGCAGGAGCTGATCGCCGGGTTTTGCTGTGCCGAGCGCTCGGACCCGGCCACCCTGGAGTGGAATGGCCTGCGCCAGCGTCTGCTGTACAATGTCCTGGCCACGCACTTTAATCCCCTGCTGAAGGAGGAGATCCGGGGCAAGCTCCTGGAGGAGGCGCGCCTGGCGGTGGCCGACGAGGTGGCCGGCAGCGTGCGGGAGCTCCTGAATGCCGGGCCGTATTTCCTCTCGCAGCCGGACCTGCTGGCCGAGATGCGGGAATTCCGCAGCAACACCCGGTCGCCCTTGCGGAATGTCCTGAGCCTGGCCCGCGACCGGACCAAGCTCTATGCGGCGGTGGTCGATGAGGGTGGCTTCTTCATCAATGGGTCCGTCTTCACCATTGCGGTGGAGCGCCAGCACCGGGGCACGGTGGAGCTGGATCACAAGGATCTGGTGGCGTTTATCTACCAATTCCGGCCGGTGGCCATTGTCATCGGCACCTTCGGCATGGAGACCCGCAGTCTCTTCCGGTTCATGGACGACCTGATCAAGACGCGCAACATCCAGACGGAGCTGCTGTATGTGGACGGCAGCGCGGCCCGGCTGAAGGAGCAGCGTGTCATCCACACGGACCCGTCGCTGATGGAGTACGACACGAACTTCCGCTTCGCCGTGCACACGGCCCGGCGGCTGCTGGACCCGCTGGAGGAGTTGGCGTCCCTGTTCACGGCGCAGAATGACATCCTCTCGTTGCGGGTGCACTCCCTGCAGCGAGAGCTCCCGGGGAGCCTGCTGTTGGACATCTTCACTCGGGCCTTCTGCATGAGTGTGGCCCATGTCGGGGTGGACATCAACCGGTCGATTTCGGCGCCGCACTTTGGCCACAGCCTGCAATTTGTCCCGGGGCTGGGGCCGCGCAAGGCCGAGGGCCTGAAGCTGGCCATCTCCCACAACTTGACCTTCCTCAATAGCCGGGACCAGTTGATTTCCGAGCTGGCCCTCGGGTCCTGTGTGTACATCAATTGCGCGGCCCTGTTGGTGGTCCGGCCGCGGACCATTCGCCCGGACCGGCGCCGCGACTCGCGCGACACGCTCATGAACCACTTCGAGGTGCTGGACGCGACGCGCATTCACCCGGAAAGCTACGAGCTGGCCCGGCGCCTGGCCTTCGATGTGCTGGATCCGGACTTCCGCGGGAAGATGGCCACCGAGGTGGAGGACTCGCGCGCCATCCTGGCCATGTGGGAGAGCGGGGCCACGCACAAGCTGGCCGCCATCCAGGCCGACAGCTATGGCGGGTTCTTCCGCGGCGAGCCGGTCAAGCAGCTGGGTCAGATGCTGAAGCGCATGCGCTTCGAGCTGGAGACCCCCTTCTATGAGACCCGGCACAAGTTCAAGGCCATCGACGATGAGAGCCTCTTTGAGTTGCTCACTTCGGAGGCCATGCACAGCCTGTATGAGGGGCTGGTGCTGTATGCGCATGTGGACCGCGAGAGTGACCAGGGCTTGCAGGTCCGCCTGCCGTCGGATCTGAACGGCTTCCTGCCCTTCAGCCGGGGCGGCGACCGGGCCATCTACCCGCGCGGGTCCTCCATCGAGGTGAAGGTGACCACCATCGACCGGAGTGCCTTCCGGGTGCTGATGAGCGCCCTGCCGGAGGACATCGCCAGTTCTCGTCAGGCCTTCCGGTCGAAGATGGTCCGCGCGCCGTTCTTCGATGTCGCGGCCATGGAGGCGGCCGAGCGCCGTGCACGTGCGTGCTCCCTTTCGCCGGGGGTTCCCCCGTGCCTTGTCCTTTCCTGCCTCGCCGCCCTCCCCCTCTCCATGCCCGGGGCATGTTGCCCTGCCTGCCTGCCTGCCATGCGCGTCGACTAATCCCCTGCCCGCTGCCGATGTGTTCGGTTTGCCCATCCGCCCCGCCCCCCCCCCCCTCCCGTCCCCCGGCGTGAATCCGTCCGCAGGCGAGGCTCGTGTGGTCAAGAAGCCGGAGATCGTTCGGCGCATGGTCGACAACAACCCCAACTTCCACAACATCACACACGCCGAGGCAGAGGAGATGCTCCGTTCCGATGAGTATGAGGTATGTCCCGTGCCCTAGGGGCCGCCTGTTTTTTTTTTCCACCCCAGCGGCTCCGGCCCTTTCTCCCTCTCGGCCTGCGCCCGCCTCTTTTTGTCGAGGGCGTTGGGGTTCCTGTCTGCCCTCCTCCCCGTGCGCTGACACCGTCCTCGTGTGCTCCCCGCGCCTGGCCCGCTGGCCCGAAGATCGGCGACTTCATCATTCGTCCGTCCTCCTCCGGGTCGGTGTTCCTGACGATCACCATCAAGTGGCCGGCCGGGGCCTTCTACCATGTGCTGGTGACCGAGCGCGACAAGCAGCTGGTGTCGGCCATCGGCAAGCGGCTGATCATCGAGGACTCGCGCCTTGGCAGCTCGGTGTTCGAGGATCTCGACGATCTGACGGCCAACTGGATTGAGCCCTTCTCCATGCGCCTGCATGAGCTGATGGAGCACAAGAAGTTCCACCGGGACCTGGGGGAGACGGCCCTGGGCGAGCGCCTGCTGGCTGAGCGTGGCGCCTCGTCCATCGTGCCATACGGCATGTGCGCCGACCCCAAGCATCCCGGATACATGCTGCTGCTGTGTGTCCCGCACAAGTCCATCGTCAAGCTGGTGCGTGTGTGTGTGTGTGTGTGTGTGTGATGGCCTCCTGGTCTTTTGGTGTTTCATTCCGCCGGCCGGGTGTCCCTGCCATCGGGGGCCTGGCCTGCTGCCGCGTGTCGCTCTCGGGCGCGCTGCGCCCCTCGGCACCGCAGTCCAACTGACATCTCGCCCCCCTCCGCCTTGGCCCGGGCTCGCTCGCCTCTCCCCCTGCAGTTCATCAAGATCACCCCGAAGGGGTATCTCCTGGACAAGTCGGCGCATGTGCTGGACTCGACGGACCACCTGCTCAACAGCTTCAAGCAGATGATGGTGTCTCGGGCCTCCGGGGCTGGCGGCCGGTCGTCCTCTCAGGCGCCGCATGCCGGGGGCCGGGCCAATGCCGGGCCGGGGCCGGGCGTGCCCCCCGGCGGGGGCGCCTCATCCAGCGGCTACTCCGGCCAGTATGGCGCCGCCTCGGCCTCTTCCTCTGGTTCGTCTGCTTCCCAGCAGCAGCCCGCCTCCGGGGGGGCCGCGTCCGCCGGAGGCGGCAGCTATGGCAGCTACTATGGCGACGGGCCGGGGGCCTACTCGCAATCGCAGCCCTCGGCCTACGGGGCGGCGGCGCCTGCTGTCGCTGCCTCAGCGTCGCAGGCGTACCAGGGCGGCCGGCCCGCGGGTCCCGGCGGCTACGGCGGGGCCTACGGTGGCGCTGGTGCTGGGGCCTATGGCGGTGGGGCTTATGGCGGCGGCGCTTATGGCGGCGGCGGCGGCAGCGGCACCGCCGGTGGGTATGGCAACGCCGGTGCCTATGGCGGTGCCTCCTCCTACGGCGGTGGCGCTGGCGGTGGGGCATATGCCCCGACGGCCGGCGGTCACGGTGGCCATCCTCACGCGCAGGCCAGCCTGCCACCGGCCCCGACGAGCGCCTCCGGCGCCGCCTACCAGGGCGGCGGCAGCTACCCGTCACACTACCCGGCGGGTGCTTCTTCCTCCTCCTCCTCCTATGGCGGTGGCAGCGGCGGCAGCAGTAGCGCTGCCGGACAGTACTCCTCGCACCATCCGTACCATCATTTGCCAGCGGCGCCGGGGCCGTCCTCGGGGCAGCAGCATCCCCACCTGCCGCCGGCTCCGGCGGCGCCGCACCATGGCCCCGGGGCCGGGGCTTACTCCGGGTCCTCCTCGTCTTCGGCCGCGGCCCCGAGGAGGTACTAGATGTGGGCCGCGGTCCGTCCTTCCCTCTTCTTTCCAGCCGACCCCCTCGGCGCTTGTGCGCGCAGGCACGCGGGGGCGCGCCCTTGCAGCGGGCGGGAGACGCGGGCGAAGGGTCGCCCCCTCGTTGCGGGATCCGCCCCTGCCCGTGTTTCTTTCACTCGTGTCACTCCCGGGGGGCAGTGTGTGTGTATGTGTGTGTGTGTGTACACGCCCCCGTCCGGGGTGGCACTTGCGCGCGGGCGTACATCTCCCCCCCCCCCCCCCCCCCCCCCCCCCCCCCCCCCCACCCCCCCCCCCCCCCCCCCCCCCCCCCCCCCCCCCCTCCCCCCCCCCCCCCCCTCCCCCCCCCCCCCCACACCCCCCCACCACCCCCCCTACCCCCCCCCCCCCCCCCCCCCCCCCGGCGCGGCATGCACTGACCAACATCCATGCTCGGCCCAGATGATGATGACCATGACATCATCAGTCAGGCCATCGGGTCGCAGGCCCCCAAGCGCATCCGCCCCAGCCTCGATGACGAGGATGACCTGGAGGACCTGGCACCGGTGGCCCCCCGGTCGCGCAAGCCCTTCCGTGCTGACGGCCTTCAAGGTGCGCCTGGGCTTCGCGGTTCCGCCCGTTCTTGTCTCCCCCCTCCCCCCCCCCCCCCCCCCCTCTCTCTCTCTCTCCCTCCATGGCTGAGGGCCC